TCTGGCCAGTGTGAACGCGGATGTACTGTTAAGTGGATTGTGTGCTTTAAAAAACCCTTCTCCATCTTTAATTTCTGCTGGATATCAGTTGTCATAGGTGTTTTGTTTGTAACTACAGTATTTTTATTGCTTGAATAAATAAATAATGATCCCATCGTTGTTTTAGTGGTAATGAACTATAAAATGCTCAAAGGTCTTAGAATTTCACACATCTGCATGATCAAAACCATGTTCATTTACATAGGGAGATTCTGATTTTGCTCCATTTAACAAAAACCTTTCAATACACCCCTATATATACCACATGAAACCAAGTTATTACACTAGTACTTAAAAAAATACAAGATACAATTTCATATTCATAGTAACTGGAGGGGGAGTTGCTCTTGATTTTTCTTTAAACACCTTTTAGGTGCCTGGTAAGAAAGTCCATTAAGGAGGAATTATTAGATGAATGCGCTATGCTGAGTAAAGTGACAGCAATTTTTAAGAGATAGAACATTTCACATCCCCAGCCCCACCCTGGAGATTTTGAGGCTCCTGTGGAATCCTTTTCACTGGGGGGGGGGCACTGGGGCCACAGGATGGAGAGGGAGAATTGTTAATTTCTGAAAATCACTGTAGTATCAGCTGTATATGGTGCAGCTGCATGAACAGAATTTCGGCCATTATATATCAAAAGATATATTTGGGCCATGCACTAACATCTAACCTACTGACATATCCTGGTATGCTGTCAAGTTGATTCTGACTTATGGTGACCCTTTCCAGGGTCTTTTAGGTAGTATTCAGAAAAGATTTACCATTTTCTACTTCTGGGGGCTGTGCTCTGAGACTGTACATCTTGCCTAGGGCTGCGTAGGGCACCTCTTCTTTCACAAGGCACAGTGGAGAAACAAAACCAGATAGATACCTAAGTCACACCCAGATTCAGACACTTCATAACCATCCAGACAAGTTATTCTGTACTGAACAGAAACCTACCGGTGTTCACATAAGAGATGTATAACTTGCCATGGCTAACTGATGAGGTACCAGAACACTTCTCTGCTGCATCTGGCATGTAACCAGGCTGCAACTGAGACACATCCCAGCACCTAGTCACAACCCTTATTCTAAAACCTGTAAGATTCTGTCCACTGAACTTCAAAGCAACTTTGAACACTACAAATGGTGATACATATTTAAAAATGAACATGAGGCCAAAAGAGCAAGTTTAAGGTCCTCAGGACATCTTTTAATTTTCATTTTCTTTTTCTGTTAGCTGTGACCAAGAAGTTTGAGTTCAATCAACAGAGCTGAAGTGCAGCAGGATTGACAACCGGCTGTTTATGTGTGCACTGACAACAGTTACTCCGCTTCTGAGTACTTTTGTTATGTGGTGTTTTCACACCATATGGCAGAGACCTTACATCCCAGAGGCATAGTCTTGAGTAGATGACATGTCAGGCTGTTGAATGAATTTGGATACAGTTCTAATGCGACATATAAAATGAGTATCATGGCTCACAAAATGCAAATAGATCTATTTTGTTCCCAATCAAACCCATAAATTTGTGAAGGAATAAAAGTGCAGTTAAAAAGGGCTATTTATTTTTCCTAAGCAGAGATATATTACAAATAAAAGAATGAAGGGTAGAAAAACCACAATATTTATTGAATGTGAAGCTTTAAAAGACAAGAAAGTCACATAATAGGCCTAATCCAAAAATGAACTTCTTTATAAGAGCAATCGTATTAATAAATGAACACTGGAAGTTCCGTTATTGTCCATTGTCACCTATTCTCAAATATTTGAAACAGAATAATTCTGCTTTTAAAGGTAGCACAAATCACACAGCTCAAAGGTTATGAAGATTGGTATGTAAATAAATATATTCTGGTTCGAAGTCTATCTCAGTTAGATACAACTTAATTGCTTCTAACAAACTGGAATACTATTAGACCATGAGAAATGGGAACATCACTCCTTTTCTTTTGGTAAGGATCCACCACTATACAAACTAACCCAAGTAGGTCCATCTGTCTTTATGAAACAATCTGAACCAAATCAAACAAACAAAAAGCAGAAGATTTTCAGTAATTTCTGAAACTTTCCCTTTCAGGCTTCCAAACTCAAAGAGATTATGAGGTTCAGGCAAACACTCTCCATCTTTTAAACCCTCCTTTTTTTTGTCACATCGGATGTAGACTTTGTTGGAACTGTCAACGGTTTATTATTTCCATCAGGCATTAGCATACTTTCTTCTTTAAGTACGCTAAACCCCAAAACTTCACTCATTGGGCTCCATGCTTCTTTTACAACAGTGTTCACAGCAATGTCCTCATTTTTAACCAAACTAACAATAGGCAATATCAGGTCTCCTACCAATGGGATAGAAGCAACATTAACATTCAGGAACTAGTTCACTTGTGAAATATCCAGCCCAGGTTGGGCTCCCAAATTCTGCGGCCCAGATCTTTGCAAACTCTGACTGATAACTGGGTCTTCCCAACTAGTCCCAGGGAAATCTGGTCTAGTTTCTCTTCCCGAGCAAACCTTTTCCTCTTCTTTCTTCTTTGTTCTCTCTCCTCAGCTTCTCCCCAGTGGGGAGGCTTTCTAACTGGCTTCTCATTCCACTTCCTTTCAGCTACTTCTTGAGGCACTTTAAAAGTAACCCATTCTCCAGATCATGGCTCCTCTTTTACTATCTCAACCCAGTATTTCTCATCCTTCTTCTTCACCTCAGTCACTCAGCACTCCTCTGACTCCACTAATTCACCTTCCTGTCTTTTTAGCCACCTCCTTTCCTGCCAAAACAATGCTCTCTATTGGTTCACTCTTTCCCAGGCTTTTTAAGGTATCCAGATTTAAATCAAAATTCCCACTCATTCAGTCCATCAGTTCTTTCAGTTCAACCAGGGTAATGTCCTCTAATTAATTAGGAGTAGATGGGACACTTCTTTTCTGTACTTCTGTCTCACAGAGCTATACATGACATGCTAAAGTTAGAAGCAAACATTTAACAGCCATATTTGCCAAGAAAGACAGAGTAAGGCTTCACTTTACTCTAAGGCCTCATCTTAAAAGTGCCTTGGAGGATTAGCTAGACATCCTTGATGGTGAGCAGGATCCAAAGGGGTCACTTATCAGAATTGTTTTCATCAGTGGAATGGGGAAGACCAGCCCCTAACCAGTCCTTCAGAATCTGCTCCGGAGGACTAGGAACCATTTCAAAGTGATTTTTGGGGGACCAAAGGGGACTGTAGAGGAAAGGGTGAGGAAGTCCCATCATATTAGTGGCTAGTCATTAACATGCTGTTGGATTTGGGCCAAAACCTATGTTTCCATTAGAAACTGAAGCACAGTGAGGATATTGTGCAGTCAGGCAGTACCAATAATGGAAGTTTTTCTCAGGAACAGCTGTAGTATTCCCAGAATTAACTTTCTGAAAAGGAATAAATTAATTTTCTAACCTTATATGTATGCAGATAACCCAGATATCATACATGCATTCATCAAAAAATGGATTGCGTCTATGATCATTTAAGTCAAGCAACGTAGAAATTAATGGCATTTCTGGTAACTTCCTATCCAGATATTTGTACAGTGGTGCCCCGCATAGCAACATTAATCCGTTCTGGATTAATCGTCGCTATCCGGAAACATCGCTAAACGGAACTAAAAACCCCATAGGAACGCATTAAACTTCATTTAATGCATTCCTGTGGGGCCCAAACTCAACGTTATGTGAAGTTCCTCCATAGCGCCGCCATTTTCGCCGCCTCGATAAGCGAGGAAACCACGCGAAAATGGTTGCGGCGGCCATTTTGGAACCACTGATCAGCTGTTCCGCAAACATCGCAATGCGAAGATCGGTAAGCAAAATGCTTACTGATCATCGCAATGCGATGTTTTGCCTATTAAAACATCTCAATGTGATTGCATTAGCGATCTCAAAAAATAGATTGCTATGCGGATTCGTCGTTAAACGGTGCGCTCGTTATGCGAGGCACCACTGTAATGTGGTAGTCATTATTTCCACCACTAATGTAGGCTATCCACATTGGGACCAAACTGGTATCAAGATTATCAGATTTATGTTTGTTTTTACAAGAACCCTTGAAATTTCTAATCAGAGCCTGGTTATTGCAAGGCATATACTTGCCATTAAAATTAGTGGAGCTCACAGTTTTTTTGAGAGAACAATGTACTTCTGCTTATACCCAAACTTTCTTCATTTCAGCAATTTAATTTAGGGGCACGGATACTATTGTTGTTAAATAATTACTAATAAAAGTGAATAATTTATCAGAAATATCTCACCTATCGACCTCAGATCACTCAAAGAAGTACCAGTAAACCTGGCTCTACCTGCCTCACCTAGAGATGCCGTCACTGTCATCATGATATGTTGTCAAGTAAATTCTGACTTATAGCAACACTTTTCCAGGGTTTCCCAGGTAGAGAATACTCAGAAGTGATTTACTATTCCCCTCTTCTTGGGACGCCCTGGGACTGTGCAGCTTGCCCAAAGTCACATAGGTTGGCTCTACTTGCAGGAGGCACAGGGGGAATTGAACTCACAACATCTAGCTCCATAGCCAAATATCTAAACGCCTGAGCTATATGTACATCAAATACCAAGTGAGCATTCTATAATCTTACATACAATTCTGAAACCCACCTGTAAACACAAGTTTCACTTATTGAAGTGTGTGGAATGTATTTGAACTGGAATTTGGCAAAGGACACATAATTGCCCACACATCACAGTATGCATACTTGTTAAATAAAAAGGTGTTGACATCAGAGCTATGATACAACTGAAGATGAAATGAAGAAACTTCGGTATTACTGAAGTGACATAGCAGTAAAATGAAAGCATAATAGTGGAAAATAGAGCATCCTATTTTTTTAAAAAGGAGATTAAATGTATAATTAAATTACCAATTTCTATTCTTATATTTTATAAATATTTGTATACCCTCCTGGGTATGGGAATAAATCATAAACAAACTAAAACTTTTAAAATAATTTATCACATAAATATTTCTTCCAATACATTTGGCTTCTCTCTTTCAAGATCCTTGGCACAATAGAATTTCATAGTAACTTACAAAACTAGAGTACACATTCATAGGAGAAAATACAAGGGAGTACTATGCATAATACAATTCAGATAAATAGCACAACTGACATATTGCAGTAAAGCTCTATGTTTCCATACAACAGAAGCTAACCTCCTTTATATGTCTGTATGATTAAAATTAATGTTCTACTTTAAGAAGCCTGATTCACATTTCATTTGCTGAATTTGCCAAACAATTGTTTTAATGAAGTGCATACTCTAAACAGCTACGCAATGCAATGTTATGACTTTAGGCACCAATTGTTCAGCTTCACATATGGAAATGACAGAGACCAATGCTTGCCATGCATTAGTGGCTCCAAAACATGTTTCTTTGTTTCTCAGGAGTTCTAAATACAAGACTTAATGTGTATTATACAGTCTGTTCTTGATGAAGACTATGGTAGACAGATGTTGTCGGATACCTGGGTAGTGCTGAATATGATTAAACCAACGAGACACATTAAGGTATTTCTCCTTCTCCTGCACTGTCAGTTCAGCCTACAAAATAAAGAGTAAGACATTTCATATTGTCACTAACAACAAAATAGAAAACATTCACTTCATCAGCTGAATCAAGTCTTAAAATCTGAAACGGAGAAATACTATGGATTAATTTTGCTCTCAATATGAAAGTTTTCCTTTCTCCTATACAACCTTGTAAGTTATTTAATTGTTCTGGCTCTGTTTTCATGACAGAAGATGTGGCCTCTTCTGCTATTAATAAACTGCCTGGCCTAACCAAAATTTTTCTCATTGCGTTCAAATACTGTATTAAGACACATTTATGCTTAATGTCCTGATGAAATTGCTATAGAATTATGAAAGTCGCAGTGTTTTTAGTTTAAAAGGAAAGATGTGGCAATGAACAGCTTCTCTCAAACATTATTTATTTCAACTGTTACATCTGTGCATCAATCTACAGAACACGCAAAACACTGACTGTTACAAAAATGGAATAAACTCAAACACTCTACTGTGCTCTAGATTAACAACAAAACCCTGAAACACTGTAGCCTCTGTTTTTGCAAGCTACCACTGCCAGATGCACAGAAATCAATTTTTAAAAGGAATATGAAACCCAGAGGACATCTTTTACTCACAATGATGTGATGCAGTCCATAGTACAATAAAATATCTGCTAAAGTAAAACTGTTTCCTGTGAAGTAGACTTTGTCTTCAAGGTATGAATTAAGGTCCTAGGAAAATCAAAAGAACTGAGATGAATATCAAACAGGACCTGTATATATTGTATATCTCCCAAATCCTTATCTGTTCAGTCAAATGAGGAGATAACTAGAGCTTCTATCACCTGACCAAGCAGGAAACAAAATCCAGGCAGAGGCCTCCTATTTCCCAAAGTAACCCTGGATCTCTTATGCAGTGGAAATGCAGCAACTACAACTATAAAATTCCACATATGTGAACAGCAAGTCACTCGGAAGGTCCAAAATGCAATTAGCATCAAAGGAAAAAAATGCTACAGCAGAGGAAGTAAGTTCTGTGGAGGGTATTATTATGAAAGGGACTGAAAATACACTGCTCATTATTATGAATGAAATTTCTTATACAGAAGGATCTATAATTTTTATCTAGTGTTGTTATTTAAGCAAAATGTCTTGCCTTTGAAAAATATCTATTTCTTTTTCTTTCCTTTCTTTCAGAACAATACACACATTTCCCCCCTGCTTTCATTTAAAACCTGTACAGTCAGATTTAGGTCAAAAGAAACTGTCTAGGTCAAGGCCACCCAGTAAGTTTTCTGGCCAAAGAGATTTTGGATTGGGTATGACTACAGTAGTGCTGACTACTGTACCAAACTGGTGATTTCCAGGTTATACTGCCGAAATA